TTGGGGGAGGGGTTGTCATTTAAACAAGCAACTCAGATGATTCACATGCAGGTGGTCAATGAACCTTACAGAGAAACATCACATCTAGAACCTATAAATATTAAAATTCTATGGCTAAAAGAATCGGGAGTTTAAATCACAACATTTATATTTATGAAAGTTCAAAAATAATTGATCACTCCAGGAAAGTGAAGAGCCTGTGTGCTATGCATTTCCCACAGGTTATCTAATTCTATCTTCACCCCACTCCTCTGAGGTAACTAGGGTGGGTGACGTCATCTTCACATTGCTGATAAGGAAATTCATGCAGGTTAAGTGATTTAGCAAAGGTTACAAAGCTAGTTGGGTCAGGTCTCCTGACTGATGTCCAATAAGACACTCCTAAAGTGAAAAGCTCAGAGAAAGAACATGCAGGAAATATAAGCACATTTCCTGATCCAGTTTTACATCACACTTTCCTCTTCTCTCTAATTCATAGCTCTACTTTAGCAGGTAACTTTGGGCTAAACGAAGTTTGTCATTTTCCACTTCCAAGCATTGGCTTTGGAGACCCATTATGGAGACACTTACAGCCAGCCCCTGGTTATGCTAACTTCTGTTTTTTCTTGGGAAAAAGAAACACACACGGTCCCCTATGGTAAAACATCACCACACACATTTTCCCTGGCTGATGACATTGGTATCATCCCTAGATTAGAGCCAGCATGAATTTTAAAGTCACTTTAGATCTAGCTCAGGCCTAGACATATGGAAAAATGGGGTGCCCCTAAAAATCCCATAAATGCTGCATATGCTCAGGGGAAGAAGTATACAGATGACTTCTTTTATTTCAGACACTTCCACTGGGACTTCTGCCTGTTCGGGTTCACATACCATATCACGAGGTGCTGTAGGGAAGATAAAGACTCTTTGACGGTGGAAAGTCACTCATTCCTTTGCCCTCCAGGGAAAACCTGACTTCTCTCTTGTGAGAAAAACTCCAAATGTAATGGACAAGACAAAGAAATATTTAATCAAATTCGTTTAGGAAACCCCACCAGTAACAATGCATCTTTTCAACAGTTGACGATGTTATGAACAGACAACGTCTTGTGTGTTGAGTCTGTCTCTGGCTTCTGGTGAGAAATGTTGTTTGCCATTAGACATTAGATTCATTCTAGAGCTCAAAGGAACCATGTTCATTTGCCAAAAACCTGCTGCTTCATGAGCTATAAAAAATGGTTTATAAAAATCACTAGAAACATTCTTAAAATATGATGATGTTGATGATGATGATGATGATGATGATGATGATGATGATAAGGCAATCTTTTCCCAGGGTCCGCCTCACTCCTAACCCCTCACCAACTGTCTTAGTCAGCTCAGCTGCTATAACAACATACCCAGACTGGGCGACTTATCAACAACAGAAATTTACTTCTCCAGGTTCTGGAGGCTGGGGGTCTGAGATCAGGGTGCCAGTGTGGTTGGGCTCTGGGAAGGGCCTCTTCCAGGCTGCAGACATCTAACTTCTCACTGTATTATTGCATGGTAGAAAACGAGTGGGCTAGCTCTTGGGCCTCTTCTTAGCAGGGCACTAACTCCATTCATGACATAATTACCTCCCAAAGGCCCTTTCTCCAAATACCATCACGCTAGGGGTTAGGACCTCAACACAGGAATTTGAGGGGGACACAAACATTCAGTCCTTAACACCAACCCAGAACATAACGGATGAACATGACTTCGGCATATTTTCAACAGACCCCCAAAGAAGTCCACTCCTGTGACTCCACCTGGGCCCATTCCCATCTCTCTTTACACCAGCTCATAATTCCTCCGGAGGTAGCAGAAAGACTTTCTAAGACTTCGGGCTCGTTTTAGCCACTCTTCACCCACACGATTTTTCAAAAGTGTTAAAAAAATGTTTTTTTAATACTTCCCTAGCACTTTTCAAAGAATGACCAAACCATTGGGTGGCAGACACCAAATAAAAGAGTATTAGAGTTGGCTCTGAGATTTTTTCTGACACCCTGTCCCCAGTTGGAGCTCTCTCCTGGAGAAAGACTGCAGATAATAAACGGCTCTTTAAACATAGACAGTGGATCACCCACTCAGAAATCCTGTGACACAAAGACTGCATTAATCATCTCATTCAACGTCTGATGAAAAACTAGGTCTTGGCCAGCCATGTTCGATTTCAAAACATCATTTGCCTCATGGAAACAAACCAACCAACAAAAATGTTAAAATGATGTGGTTTAAGTTTTTATACCGAAGTGACATGTGATTTAATATTACAATTTTTTTGCTTTTGGATGGTAGGAATGGCTCATTAAATTTCTTCAAAACATCCCCAACTATGGAAATTTAACCATTAAGCTGAGTCTTCGAACCACACAGATCAGCATGAGTGTGAGATAGTGAAAATGTGGCATGTTAGTGACAGGTTGGCAAATGGGGTCCCCCCCCCACCCCGCACTGGGAAATCCAACCTCTGGATGGGAGGGAGAGTCAGTGACCAGCCTAACTCATGTGCATTTGAACAGGAGTTACTGATGCAAATGTCCACAGAGAGACTCCTGTTGAGGGCACTAAGAGGGGATTTCAAGGGAACCAACTGGCTTTGTCAGCCAGTCACACATCAAGTGAGCCCCCGTCAGCTGTCACTCTCCTCTAATTTAGAAAACTATCTACGGCAATTGGCTGCAGTCCCTTTTATTGTCCTGCACCACAAAATTCCCGAGTGAAATATTCATCAGACCTCACACCCCTTTAACCAGAAGCAAGGGAACTCAAAGCAGATATTGTAGGCACCAATGTCTTACCAAGTGATCATCGTTATTATGAATACTTCTCTTGGTTTGTTTTTTGGGGACAAACACACTGCTTTAACATATAACTAATTTCCTTAAAGGGACAACACACCTTTGCTGAGAAATGCTCATTTTGTTACACAACAATTTCCTTGATCCATTCAGGGCTCTGTAATTTCCTCTATTGCTTGCATTTGGAAGAGACCTGAGAAGTGTGTACGTGTTTGTCCTCATTCCTTACAGAAAGCAGAGATGCATCAGGGGATACAACACAAGCCCACTCTGATGGGACATGTCTGTTCTTCTCAGCACCCACATGCAGAGGAGGCTCCGGGCACCAGGGCGTACCAGCTGGCTGATTCACCAAGTAAAAAATGAGAAAATGCCACCCGCAGGTTCTCTCACATCAAACAGCTGCTGGACATGTATCTGGGCTGGGGCAGACCCAGTAGCTTTGGCTCATTTCTGTATCATAAGTGAGGCAAAGAAAGCAACCAGATGTGGCCTGCATAGGCCTGCCTCTAAAAAGTGTATTCCTGGGCCAGAGACACCAGTGCTTACAGTGCAAGCCCCCGACCCACCTCTAGTCTCTTCGTGTCCTTGGCTCTGTCCCATAGCACTGGAAGCCTCATGCAGGTGTGGGGAATAGACCAGTGCCAACAACCAGTGTATCCTTTGCAAATAGCTGCCCCTGTGTATCCTTTGCAAATAGCTGCCCCTGGAGCCCAGGGCTGCTCACACTGGCCTGGATCTGGGAAGAGGACCCTGCAGGCCAGGGAAGTGGGCTTTTGGCTGTTTAGGAAGGAAACTCAGGGTCCTAGGAACCCAGAGAATTGACTAGAAGTGGGGGTGCTGGTTCTCTGTGCACACTGTGTAGGCTTCTTACCCTGTGAAGAGGAACATAACCAGCCGGGGATGGCCACACAGAGGCCTCTAAAGCATGCAGCCTAGGGCAGCCCCTTGTTGGGGTCTCAGGGCAATGCTGGCTGTGGCCTGCAGGGTGGGCCTGCAGGGCCTGGGCCTGTGGGGTGGGCCTGCAGGGCCTGGGCCTGAGGAGCTTCATTTGAAAAGCAAGGAGGTTGGAATCCATGATTGTCAAGGTCCGCTCTAGACTCAATACTGTGGAGTTCTAAGATCCAGTCTATCATTATTGATGGCTCATCTCAAACATTGGACAAAGACAATTAAAAGAAAAGAAAGTATGAAAAAAATCCATAAAAGGGTAGGGCCGGCCGAGTGGTGCGATGGTTAAGAACTGGCTTGGGACGCCAGAGGGCCCTGGTTTGGATCCCACATATGAGGGCCAGTGACACTGTCCTCTACAGCTAACATGCTGAACAACAGCTCGACCTGGAGCTGGGCTGCCCTGAGTCACCAGCGACGGCGTAGGCTGCAGCCCCTGTGCTATGTGGCAGTGGGTAGCCATGGGCTACCGTGTGTAGCCAGTAGCCAGCGTGAGCGGCCAGCAGCCGCAGTGAGCAGCCGTCCAGAAGCTGGCGACTGATCTGCCTCGCCCGGGAAGAGTACAATGATGGTGCCCACTTGGGCCAGTGAAGCAACGTCCTCCACAGCTAGACTGAAGAACAAAACGACAGCAACTTGTCTGTTCCCCTTCCCCCAATTCCCCAGCGCTGTTCCCATCCCCTGAATTCCCCAGTAAAAATCTAAAAAAAAAAATCCATAAAAGGGTAAAAATTTCAATCTCAGCCTCTCTAGTTCAAGAGATGAACAATGAGATATTCGGATTCATTAATGTTCTGGTTAATAGAGTAATTAGATTTACCTTTCACAGGTGACTATCAACTAATCAGAGTATAATAATGCCCTTAACATTGTTAACAACGATCAATCAACATATCCATTGGATTATGGGTGACTCAAAACATCTCCAGCTTTCCAAGCACCATGAACTGTGTGCAATTAACACAGAATTCATTATAGAAACATGGACGTGCTGGGTAGGTCAGATGATTGAGGTCCACAGTTTTCACCATAGTTAAAATTTCGAAAGCCATTTCTGTGGATGGGACCACCTCCTCCAGGCACCTTGATTTGGTTTGTTTCCCTCCTGATACATTTTGATGACAGCAGGCAACACCACCTTCTCCTGAAGTTTGTCATTGTCAAGAGACAGGGAAAGTGCCCGCACAGAAAAGCATCAGTGTCATGAGACACAGAAAGCCACTCACAGTTAGGGGCACTGACCTGTCCCTTCATATCTGGAGCGATAGGAATGGTGGGCCAGATGGTTGAGTAGACGCCAAAGAACACCAGCCAGATCAGCATGCTTCCCCAGACGGCCAGGTGACTGAACTGCAGAAGAAAACACAGTCAGGCAGGGCCTCTCTCCAGCCCAGGAGCCACCTGTGTCCATGCTAGCTTTCTTCATGAAAAGATTTGGATAGCTTTCCAGGCACTGGAGAGTTCTAGCTTCCTAATTTCTTCATTTAACAACGAATTCAAATAACTACTGGCCCTGAGGATGAAGGTGCTTTGGCCACCACAGCTGACCTTCCTGGAGGTCACCCATCCCATAGTGTTAGCCGACCCCTCTCATTCCTTACCAGTTGCTCCAATTTGGAGCTGCATAAAAAAGATCTCAGTAGTCTAGTAAGAGCGCTCTGAAGAGACAAAACGCACATGATGTTTTTATTGATCATTTTGAGACTTTGATTGTTCTTTGCATTTTTCAAAGAAGTTTGTAAAAATCTGGAATGGATGTTACATCTTAACAATGTCCCTTTAAGCAGCTACTGAGTTGTGAAGTTTTTCTCATCTGTCCTCTTATTATACGATGAGACTTAACTTTTCCTTTCTTCCACATTCCATGATCTAATCTATCATCAAGTTCTGTTACCTTTTTAAAACAAATACATCCAGAATCTTAACACTTCTTACCACCTCCTCCTCTAATGTCCCAGGCTAAGCCACCATCACCTCTCCCCTGGATTAATTGCCATTGTCTCTTAGCGGATTCCCTGATTCCACATTAGTCTCTCCCCTGTCCCCCTGTCTCAGCACAGAATTAGGAGCCTATTTAAACAGCAGCGACAGACAATTATGAAACAATGGTTATAATCCCCAATCACTGGAAGTAACCAACATGTCTAAAATTGGGGACTGATTAAATAAGTGATGGGATATCAATAATACTCTTTCATCATGAACAATGATTTCATAGAAATATAGTTTAAGGGATAGAAAATGGTCATGATATATATTTTGTGAAAAAAGATTACAAAACTATGTGTTCTGTAATGCATTATCTTAAAAATATACACACACAGAACAAAATCAAGAAGGTCATACAGCAAAGTATTAACAGCAACTATCTTTTGGTGATAAAATTATGTAAATTAAAAATTGTCCTTTCTGTCCTTCTGTATTTTGTGTATTTTTTTTTACAATGTGCACATACATTTGCACATATACATTTGAAATAAGATGACTGATAATAGTTTCGTATCAAGTGTCAGGCTTAGTATTAAGTGTATTAAGCACCAAGCAAATGAATCATGAGGAAACTTTGGTTTGCAAATCTACCCTGATAAAGATCAAACCACAATTTTTACAAGCAAAATTTAAAATAAGACACTGGATATAATTGATTGTTTTTCCAAGGCTTAAAATGCTATCATACCAGAAAAAAAAAATCTAGAAATAATTCTAGAGGAAACTTACTTTAGTCCAAGCCGTAGTCTCCAAACCAGCTTTCAGACAAACAGTGACAACAACATACTATGAAAAGAAGAAGGAATTTGGGAACATGTATTATCATAAGTGAGTTATTTTTACTTTACAGGAGAAACCCCAAGTCTTCCCTCCAGCGCAGCAACTCCAAGGAGCTGCACTTTGAAAGGGCCATGGAGCTAGCTAATTCTCTAGGGGTTAGTTTTAGGTTCACTTTTCAAGAAAATCCCTCATTTTAGTGATTGTCTTCTCCCAAGTAACAGTCACTTTTGTTCTTTACTTGACTTGGAAGATTTGGGAGAAATCACCTTCCTCAGTGTTGTGTTTTTTTTTTTTCACAGGTAGAGGTGATATGGTCATTGGAAGAATGGGGATATCTGTCAATCGCCTGTCCAGAAATCTTGAGTCTGCATAATCTTCGCTAACAAATGAAGTAAGCATTTCACGACCATTCTGACCATCGAGGCATCTAGATTATATAGTTCAAAAATTAGAAGTAAATGATAATGAGGAAGGCCTTATATAAAGGGTTTCAAGAGGCAGAATCCACACATGGGCCCTTTAAAATGGTTCTGTAAACAGAGAAATAAACTTACTGTGTAAACAATATTTCCAACAAATAAATAGTCTGTGGCATGACCGTTGGCCAACACAGTATCTGAAAAACAAAGAAGTTACTATTAACCTCCAGAGCACAGCACTGCAGTCCATTTTATTCAGAATGTAAAAAATAAAATAAAATAAAAAATAAATAAAATAAAAAATAAATAAAATAAAAAAATAAAAAATTAGAAACATCAAAATGTAAGGGAATTTTGAAAATTACATTATCTATGATTCTAATGTCTCCTCTTTCTGATTTTTTTTCATCATATATTTTCTCCAAAGGAAATAAACAAAATCAGGTTTCCAA